CATTTCATAGATGAGGACATTTCCCTAAATAACAGCATCCGTTCTGATCTCAGTTGTTGAGAGTTTCATTGTTTGGTAATAATTCCACCATTTTATTTTTATTGAGGCTTTCCATGGATATGTACAGAGACAGCATGTGTAAATGCCCCTTGGGTTGCTGAAAATGTGCAGTGTCTCCATCAATTCTGTGACTCTCTCTAGGATTCTCAGTGTCTCCAAGTTTTTTAGAAACATGGTGGTCTCCACCCTTCAGTCAGTTTGGTAATCTGGAAACTCAGGAAGCCTGCAAACCTCACTACATATGACCAACAGTGACCTGGAGGTGTTTCAGGGGGGCAGGCATGTCCCATGGTGGGGAGCACAGGGCCAAACATGGGTTCACGCTTACCTGATGTGTGCTCTTGGACACTCAGAAAGCCCTTCTGTGCTGCAATGTGTACCTATCCACCTGTAAAATGGTGATAAATGGGTACATATATCACATGGTATTTGCAGAGAACAAGACACATGGAGTATATGAGTGGATATGAGTCAGAGAAACAGCGTATATGTGACAGTTTCCTGACCAGGATGTCTTGTGTCTGAAGGTGTCCAGTGTAAGGTGTAGTTGGTAGAGTCTGGGGGAGACCTGGTGAAGCCTGGTGGGTGGATCCCTGATATTCTCCTTTGCAGATTCTGGATTCATCTTCAGTAGCTACTACATGAGCTGGGCCCACTAGGCTCCAGTCAATGGGCTGCGGTGGGTCTCAAGTATTGATGATGTTGGAAGTAGCACAAGCTATTTAGACTCTGTGAAGGGCCGATCCACCATCTCCAGAGACAATGGCAAGGACATACTGTATCTGCAGATGAACAGCCTGAGAGCCAAAGATGAGGCTGTATAATACTGTGAAAGCGACAGAGTGAGGGGACATCAGTGTGAGCTCAGACACAAACCACACTGTAGACCAGAATCTGGACAAACAGCGGGTGCACACTATTCACTAATGCTGTCTTTAAACACCATGAGCAGATGCAGGTGGAGGAAATGGGCAGGTTTCTTGTCAGGTTCTGGGGTTTCCTCTCCATAGAGCAGTTTCCCCCAGGAAGCCTCTGTCCACACGTGATTCTGTGCTTACCTATTTACTCTTTGATGTAAAAAAATTGGACATCAACTGTACTAACAAGCACAAAAGACAGTGTCACTTGCACTTGCTTGTTTCTGAACCTAAATATCAATGGATTACAAATATCTCCATGCACATCATCTGAACATTTTCAGGAGTCCCAGCTGCACTCACTGTGCATCACAGGATCACTCAGCTCAACGTGCAAGCTTGTTAGAAGCAGCATAAAGTGCATGCTG